CCCGGGGCGGCGGCGCGATGACGTGGTGATGTCGTATTGGCCGGTGGACATGTCCGGCGCGGGGTGGACATGTCCGGCGCGCGGAGGAGGAAGACGACTAGGGTTTGCCCGAAATTTCGGGGGGGGGGGGTTTATATAGGTAGAGGGAGCTAGGAGAGTCCAAATAAGATGTGGTTTTTGCCCACACGATCGTGATCTAACGACGGAGAGCATGGAGAGGGTTTGGATGGGTTAGTGAGTTATTTGGAGGGGTGTTGGGCTGCAAAGAGAGGGGGGCTTTTGCGGCTACCCGGTTAACCGTTGGGGCATCAAACGACCTCCAAATGAAACGAAATTTGACAGGCGGTCTACCGGTGATATACCAAGACCACTCGGCAAATCTCGACCCATTTCGACAACTTTTTCTGTGGCTCACAAAACAAGATCTGAGAGGTGCCGCAGGCGCGTGCGAGTGTGGTTGGGCTCAGGACCGACAACGGAAAGAACTGGGAGAACCCGAACTGATGCAAGTTTTGAAAAACATGCAGATGAAATACAGATGATGACATGGCAAAATGCAACACGCAAGCAAATGACATGGTAACAATGATGAATAACTAGAAGACACCTGGCGCATCGGTCTCGGGGCGTTACACAAAAGTGTGCAACAAAGCACATATTTTGCATTTGCAAAACGTGTGTGATGCTTGATGTATCGCAAATGGCACGGTAGAATTAAATGTTTGTGATAGGTTCCTTTGTGCACATGCTCTACAATCACTAATTGTTTATGAGGTTGTGCGCATTGTAAATGTTGCGCGACAGAAGAGCGTGTGCGATAGGTATGACATCTCACACAAGTACGACTAATGAAGCGTTTGGGACATTCGATATATCACAGAGGCTTGCCTCACCAATTACATGTGGGGTGGGCCGGGGCATCACATATTATTTTCTTTCATGAAATGTATGCATGCTTTTGCCCTATATATGGTTGAGGTTAACCCTTATCATGTGCGATGTGCCACCCCTTCCGCACACCCAAGTAAGGCGAAGGTTTGTCAGCAAAAGCGGGTTTAAACCGTTTACATGGGGCTTGGGTGCACTAGTGGAGGAACCAAAAATATAATTATTTTAAAATGTTCATCATGTATTAAACAAACTCATATATGTTCATGTATTTTGAAAAAGTTCTCGTGAGTTTTGAAAATCTGTGTGTATTTTAAAATAAGAAAATAATAGAAAACAGAAGAAAAATAAGAAGCAAAAATGGGAAAATTAGAGAAAGGAAAAAAAACCGAGCCACTGGAAAAAAACAGAAAATAAAGTGTTTGAATTAAATATTAAACACAGTTCATTGTATAATAAAAATTGTATATCGCGTATGAAAAAAATGTTTATGGTGCATTTATTCATTGTTTACTTAAAAAATGTTCATGTTACTAAAATAGCGCTCAAGCATCTAAATAAATGTTCACACACTTTTCATAAATTTTGGTTTATTTTGGGGGAAGTGTTCGCACATTTTTTAGAAATGTTTGTGGATTTCAAACAGAAAAAATAAAAAAAAAAGGTAACAGGAATTATGTTTGTCTATTTCTAAAAGAGTTCCCGCTTAGGCAAGAGCGTCCCTGCAGGTGCAGGCCGGCCCAGTTGGATTCATCAGAAAAAAATAACAAAACACCCCTGAGACACCGTTCAAAGCACTCGCTGTTTGTAACCCTCTGAAATATGAATCAAGCACGGGTAATCAACCAACCATGAGCTCAAACTAACAAGAACAATAAAACTAATTCATGCAGGACCTAGTGCCAAGCACGACCGCTACGCTACAACTACATATACCTCTTTGACTCCTCACCTCACTCTCATGATACAAATTATTACTACCTCTGTTCAGAATTACCTGTCGCTGAAATGAGTGTATCTAAGACGCGCTTCAGTGTGTAGATTTACTGATTTCAGCGACAGTTAATTCCGAACAGAGGGAGTACAAGCCATGAACTTAACCTGCAATAGAACAGATATAAAAGGCTCTTCAGGGAAAACGCGCTCAGAATTTACAGCAGAGAAGCCCCTTCCTCCAGCCTCGGCGCCGCCTGGTGCATCTCCGCTCTCCTTTCGCCATCCTCACCGGGCTGCTGATCCAGTCCTTCTGCAGTCTGTTCCACAAGTGCAACACAACAGAGGTATGAGATAAATGTTGCATTCCTATCAAACAAAAGAAAAATGATAAATGTTGCATGGTTCATGCCTTCAAGATTTATTTTGAAACACAAATGAAGATCAGCTAGTAAAAGTTTTCAATATTCTTTTCGAACAAAAATGAAACATAACCAGTAAGTACTATAATATATCTCCCAGATAAAATGACCGGTATATTTTCAGAAAGTACTTGCTGTGATCTGACCAGAAACTTACACTGGAAATGCAAAGGACCGGGTGCTGGTCGTGCTACTACCTGAACCGATGGAGATATTGCCAGAATAAGCAAGATGGCCAGAGTTTGACACTGGAGCAGACATAATACTAGGACCAAAACCCGGTTCAAAGGGAGGATAGCCGTTTCCAGTTCGAGATGGCGCTTTTGCACTATCAGGTGCATTATGTTCGCACACATTATCATGTTGTGCCAGCACAGGACTCCTATTAACCGCGTCATCATTAGCTCCTTCATCTATCTGGCTGGAACCATGTATATCGGCGGTACCGCCAGTCCCATGTTCTTTACTATTCTCCCCATTTGCTCCATTGGGCTCTACATTTTCAGCTGATGAAGTTGTAGCTGCTTCTGTTTCATGCATCTTGTTGGTTATTGTTTCACCCATAATACTTCCATTCTGATCATTGCTCTTCGCAGACGATCTTATCTCTGAACCTAGCGAACTCAGAGCATCAACCCTAGGTTCAGTTATTTCGACTTCATTAAATCCTTCAGCACTAATAGTATCAGTTTTCTCGAAAGTGCAGATAGGTCCAGTGGAAGCAGCATCTGAGATTGCTGATGTAGAGCATTCTGGTTTACATGTATCCTCTAGGGACCCATGACCAACAAAAGGATTATAGTGAACTATTAGGTTCAGTCCTCTCGCATCAAATGATGCCGCTGCATCACATTCTTCAGAGGTTGTTACTGAGCAATCATCAATGTTGTTCTTACTTGATACAGTATCATTAACAAGACCACTGGTTTTGGATGCAATAACTTCGACTCCATGACCCACATTTGCGGAAACCTGAAATTATAACAAAACCGTGTTTCTCAGCTTAACATCGTGAAGTTTTGGGTAAAAAAGTACCACCCTAAAGTGTGTTGATGCATTTATAGCTGAATATTCTTTCCTCAAGGACACCACTATATTTTGTATGATGGTTTTTTTACAATGCATCTATGCCATGATCATAGTGATGACAAGAAAAAAACAATTCTAAGTACTTGTGAGCTGTAACTCTGGACCAGTGGTGTACCTGCCTGACTGCTTCTCCATGGAAAGATAGCATATGATTTTTACTGGTTTCAGAGCTTATTGCACCTTTATGCAGGCACTCTTCTGCACTTTCGAGTCTAAGTAATTCTTCCAAACTTATTTTCTTCTCACTGAGATCACCAAAATTAGTGGCTTTACTCTTGCCCTCGGGACCATGTTTTTCACAAGAAGAATATCGTTTCTCATTGTTACTATCAGGAGCAAAATTAACAGGTAGAACTGCTTCTGGTTTGGGTTTGTGGAAAGCTTTTGCAGCACAATCTTTTTCTGTGTACGTCGGAGCATCATTTGCGTGTATCATTTGACAATCAAAATTTGGAGATGACTTTTCATCTACTACTTTATCTTCTGAAATCTTCCGAGGAAGAGGTTGTCCGTCATCAATGCAGACATCTTTGACAAAATTACCACCATAATCAAAAGAAGCAACACTGTCTGGCAATTTGATCTCCACGATGTCCTTTTCATAAGAAGGATCCTTCTGCTCTACATGTCCAGCTATGTCTACCATATCTTGTGCTGGATTTTTGTCCTCAAGCATTTTTTCTGTGAAATGCTCAGTCCTGCAAACTATTTCACAAGAAATACTATAACCATATGGTTGATGTCATCTAGCATCACAAATTCACCAAGACAGTCACAAAGTAACAAATCAACATGTTGTCAACAAATGTCAAGCTAGTGTTGTAGTATTATCATGACGCCAGTCTCCATCTTTAACCAAGTTATCATATGATGTACTCCCTCTGTAAACTAATATAAGAGCGTTTAGATCACTAAAATAATGATCTGAACACTCTTATATTAGTTTACGGAGGGAGTATTAAAATACAGAATTAAGCAATGATTTCCATTATAAAATGATCTTTTGGGCCAACCCTAACAACAAAGTGTAAACTGAAACTGATGGGGATCTTTTGCAGTTTTGTTTCTTTTCCATTTTGGTTGCTGCGTCCCTTTAATTGATGGAATTTTGTCCATTTTGGGCCTAGCCCAGCAGCAGTTTCAGAAATTCCTAATAAATCCTAGAGGCCCACGCAGCCCATTTGTGCAAGGCAAGAGGTGGCACTAAAGTTTAGTCCCACATTGCTAGTTTAGAGGGAGTTGGACCTCTTTATAAGGAAGGCTCCTTCCCCACTTGTATGAGCATGAGAACAAGAGGGACATCCACGCGCGCTCCTCCTCCGCCGCCCGCCTCGCCACGCCTCGCCACGACGCGCCGCGGGTTGCGGGAATGAGCCGATGTCTAAATTTTTGCCACGCACTACGGGTATACGAAAGGTCACTCGGGAGATGGAAAGTTTTTGCTGTAGTGGAGATTAAATGCGAACGCTGCACCCTTCGGCTGCTGTCTGTTCGTTTCATCTCCCTCGGTCCCTTCAGCTCCCGGCTCTGCCCTCTCGCCTCCTTCTCTTGCGCCTATAAAAGGGAGGTCGCTTCTCAGCAAGACGCACCAGAACTACTTCTTCCTCTCGCCACCGGTTCCTGAGCACTGCGCTGCTGCTACGATCTTCTCCATCCCGGCTTGCGGCGTGCACCGCAGGTCGGGACAGTAGGCCTCCGAAACCGCACTCTTTGAGTCCTGTACGGGAGAAGGGTGATAAGGTTTTTGGGGAGCGCTCTGCGCGACTACTGGCTGCTTCATCACGGACGATCCGGTCGCCGACGACTACTTCCCCGACGACGACTTCTTCCCCGACGTCCACGACCTCCTCGACGACATGGCAGGCGAGGACACCGACCCCAAGTCCAGCGCTTCTGCTGCTGCTGTGCCGTACGTGTTCTTCTCCTTTCTGTTAGAAGCCCTGCTACAGTTCTTGGCTCTAGTTTCTGTCCTACGTATGTTAGGTTCTATGTCGTATAAGCAACTTCATCTAGTGACTGTTCTAGATGTGTTTACCTCAAGTTCATATATGAAGACGATGTTTACCTTCTCTCTGTCAGATTGCATGACTTGCTTTATATTTGCTATTTTAGTCATGTTTTATCTACTATTTCTGTTAATAAAATCATTCGGTAAATTGCTCATATTTCCAACAATCCAAAAACCTTATTATAGGCAATTTACCTCGAATGGTTTTGCTGCTTCCATGAGACCTCCTATGTTTGAGGGTATCCACTATAAGAGGTGGCGCGTGAGAGCAGTCTTATGGTTTCAAACCATGAGTTGCTATGACGCCACTCTTGGCAAACCTGAAGGAGAGCAAGATGCCCAACAAGCACAAGCTTTTCAGAAAATGGATACCTTGTTTAAGGCTGCCCTCTTGAGTGTTCTTGGTGAGAACATAGTTGATGCTTATGCATCAATTGACAATGGAAAAGATATGTGGGACGCACTCGAGGCCAAGTTTGGGGTCTCGGATGCCGGCACTGAGCTGTATATCATGGAGCAATTCTATGATTACAGGATGACTGAAGAGCGCTCCGTGATTGAGCAGGCTCACGAGATACAGTCATTTGCTAGAGAACTTGAGCACTTCAATTGTATCCTACCGGACAAGTTTGTTGCCGGGGGTATCATCACTAAGCTTCCTCCTTCGTGGAGGAACTTTGCTACCTTACTGAAGCATAAGAGACAGGAGTTTTCCGTTCCGGATCTCATTGGCACTCTTGATGTGGAAGAAAAGGCGAGAGCAAAGGACACGTGCTCGAGGTATGAGGGAGGATCTAGTGCCAATCTGGTACAGAAGAAAAACTTCCAGTCCCACAAGTTCAAGAACAAGGGCAAGTTTGATGGTAAAGGAAAGTTTGATGGGAAGAACAAGGCTGTGCAGCACACGAACTTCAAGAAGAAGAATGACAAGAAGAAAGGTGCTTGTCATGTGTGTGGAGATCCTGATCATTGGGCTCCTAGTTGCCCCAATCGCTATGACAAGCGTCATCCTGGGAAAGGCGGCAAGACCGCTAATGTTGTCATGTCGGAGACATTGACATGAAGGATGCTGGGTATGGTATATTTCCCACTATTCTTTCAGTATGTCATTCTCCTGATTGGTTGATTGACACGGGTGCTAATGTGCATGTATGCGGTGATATTTCCATGTTTTCATCTTATCAGACCGCAGGGACTTCAGCCGTGCTGATGGGCAACGGTTCAAGTGCTTCTGTTCGTGGTGTTGGCACGGTCGATCTGAAGTTTACTTTGGGGAAGATCATGCGGCTGAAGAACGTGCATTATGTCCCCTCCGTCAATAAAAATCTTGTTAGCGGATCTCTTCTGTGTAGAGATGGCTATAAGCTTGTCTTTGAGTCGAATAAATTTGTAATATCCAAGTATGGAACCTTTGTTGGTAAAGGCTATGAGTCAGGAGGCCTGTTTCGTTTATCCTTATCAGACGTTTGCAATAAAGTTGTTAATCATATTTGCAACAATAGTGAATCAAATGTGTGGCATTCACGACTTTGTCATCTTAACTTTGGTTGCATATCGCGACTAGCGAAGTTGAACTTAATCCCTAGTTTCACCACCGTTAAGGGATCTAAGTGTCAAGTGTGTGTGCAAGCTAAGCAACCTCGTAAATCTCACGTGACTGCGGAGACGAGAAATCTTGCACCACTAGAACTTATACATTCAGATCTATGTGAAATGAATGGTGTTTTGACAAAAGGTGGAAAGAAATATTTCATGACGTTAATTGACGACTCCACTAGATACTGCTGTGTGTATCTTCTGAAATCTAAGGATGAGGCTTTGAACTTTTTCAAGATCTATAAAGCTGAAGTGGAAAACCAACTTGATCGGAAAATCAAGAGGCTTAGGTCCGACCGTGGTGGAGAGTATTTTTCCAATGAATTTGATGCTTTTTGTGCGGAACATGGTATAATCCATGAGAGGACGCCTCCCTACTCACCTCAGTCAAATGGGATGGCCGAAAGAAAGAACCGTACTCTAACTGATTTGGTTAACGCCATGTTAGACACATCGGGTCTCTCCAAGGCATGGTGGGGGGAGGCGATATTGACAGCATGTCATGTCCTAAATCGAGTTCCCACAAAGAACAAAGAGATAACTCCATTCGAGGAATGGGAGAAGAAAAGGTTAAAACTCTCTTATCTGCGAACATGGGGTTGTTTGGCGAAAGTCAATGTTCCAATTCCAAAGAAGCGGAAACTTGGAACAAAGACTGTGGATTGTGTTTTCTTGGGATATGCTTTTCATAGCATTGGCTATAGATTCTTGGTTGTAAAATCTGAGGTACCTGACATGCATGTCGGTACGATCATGGAGTCGAATGATGCGACTTTCTTTGAAGATATCTTTCCCATGAAGGATATGGCTACCTCATCTAATCAGGAGATGTCTAGTTCATCGAATCAGGAACCAGTTACAATTACCGAACCTGCCATTTCGATGGAACACTTTGAAAGTCCCGTGGAGGAGAACAATGAAGTTCCTATTAGGAGCAAGAGACAGAGGACTGCAAAGTCCTTTGGTGATGATTTTCTTGTGTATCTCATAGATGACACTCCCAGTTCTATTTCAGAGGCCTATGCATCTGAAGATGCTGACTACTGGAAGGAAGCAGTTCGTAGCGAGATGGATTCCATCTTGGCGAATGAAACTTGGGAGATAACTGATCGTCCTTATAGGTGCAAACCTATAGGATGCAAATGGGTATTCAAGAAGAAGCTTAGGCCTGATGGTACTATTGAAAAGTACAAGGCTCGGCTCGTGGCTAAGGGTTATACCCAAAAGGAAGGTGAAGATTTCTTTGATACTTACTCACCTGTGGCTCGACTGACCACTATTCGAGTTCTACTTTCACTAGTTGCCTCACATGGTCTTCTCGCTCATCAAATGGATGTTAAGACTGCTTTCCTGAATGGAGAGTTGGATGAGGAAATTTATATGGAACAACCAGATGGGTTTGTAATAGATGGTCAGGAAGGGAAAGTGTGCAAGTTGCTGAAGTCTTTGTATGGACTCAAGCAAGCACCCAAACAGTGGCATGAGAAGTTCGAAAGAACTTTAACAGCTGCAGGCTTTGTTGTGAACGAAGCTGGCAAATGTGTGTACTATCGCCATGGTGGGGGCGAGGGAGTTATGCTTTGCTTGTATGTTGATGACATACTGATTTTCGGAACAAATCTGAATGTTATTAAGGAGGTCAAGGATTTCCTATCTCGCTGTTTTGAGATGAAAGATTTAGGAGTGGCTGATGTCATTCTGAACATCAAGTTGTTGAGAGATGATGATGGTGGGATTACATTGCTTCAATCTCACTATGTGGAAAAGATTTTGAGTCGCTTTGGCTATAGTGACTGCAAGCCCTCTCCAACACCATATGATGCTAGCGTGCTGCTTCGAAAGAATCGAAGAATTGCTAGAGATCAATTGAAGTATTCTCAGATTATTGGCTCGCTTATGTACTTAGCCAGTGCTACAAGACCTGACATCTCTTTTGCTGTTAGCAAGCTGAGCCGGGTTGTCTCAAAACCGGGAGATGTGCATTGGAAAGCTCTAGAGAGAGTTTTGCGTTATTTGAAAGGCACTGTAAATTATGGAATTCACTACACTGGGCACCCAAAGGTGCTTGAAGGGTATAGTGACTCAAACTGGATCTCAGATGCTGATGAGATAAAGGCCACGAGCGGATATGTGTTCACTCATGGAGGTGGCGCTGTTTCTTGGAAGTCTTGCAAGCAAACCATCTTAACGAGGTCAACTATGGAAGCAGAACTCACAGCACTAGATACAGCTACGGTCGAAGCAGATTGGCTTCGCCGACTCTTGAATGACTTGCCGGTTGTTGAGAAACCTGTACCGGGTATCCTTATGAACTGTGACAATCAAACTGTGATCACGAAAGTGAACAGCTCTAAGAATAACATGAAGTCATCAAGACACGTTCAGAGAAGGTTAAAGTCTGTCAGGAAAATGAGAAACTCCGGAGTTATTGCATTGGATTATATCCAAACGTCTAAAAATCTGGCAGATCCTTTCACTAAGGGTCTATCACGTAATGTGATAGATAATGCATCGAGGGAGATGGGCATGAGACCCACAATATGAGTTGTTCACAGTGGTAACCTATTCTTTGTGATCGGAGATCCCGTGAATTAGATGTGGAAGACAAGATGTTGGTCAACTGGGAGGAGAGTGTCCTTATTATTAAAAATACCACTCCATGAAGATGCAATACTCTCCTAATCTGCATGGCAGGTTGATGTATATCTTAATGTGTTCTAAGTGGCTCTTTGAAGCAGAGATGTTGTCCTGCAGAACATCTTTTGAAGAACACACCTATATGAGTCTGATTGTCAAACGTCGCAATCTATGAGAGTAGGGTTCTCTCTAGTAAACTCATGAAAGGTCACGGAGTATATAAAACAGTGTTTTGGAACCAAAGGCAAATTTTGTGTGCCTCTGGGATTTGGTGGGGGATTGCTGGAATTTTGTCCGTTTTGGGCCTAGCCCAGCAGCAGTTTTAGAAATTTCTAATAAATCCTAGAGGCCCACGCAACCCATTTGTGCAAGGCAAGAGGTGGCACTAAAGTTTAGTCCCACATTGCTAGTTTAGAGGGAGTTGGACCTCTTTATAAGGAAGGCTCCTTCCCCACTTGTATGAGCATGAGAACAAGAGGGACATCCACGCGCGCTCCTCCTCCGCCGCCCGCCTCGCCACGCCACGCCTCGTCACGACGCGCCGCGGGTTGCGGGAATGAGCCGATGTCTAAATTTTTGCCACGCACTACGGGTATACGAAAGGTCACTCGGGAGATGGAAAGTTTTTGCTGTAGTGGAGATTAAATGCGAACGCTGCACCCTTCGGCTGCTGTCTGTTCGTTTCATCTCCCTCGGTCCCTTCAGCTCCCGGCGCTGCCCTCTCGCCTCCTTCTCTTGCGCCTATAAAAGGGAGGTCGCTCCTCTCAGCAAGACGCACCAAAACTACTTCTTCCTCTCGTCACCGGTTATTGAGCACTGCGCTGCTGCTACGATCTTCTCCATCCCGGCTTGCGGCGTGCACCGCAGGTCGGGACAGTAGGCCTCCGAAACCGCACTCTTTGAGTCCTGTACGGGAGAAGGGTGATAAGGGTTTTGGGGAGCGCTCTGCGCGACTACTGGCTGCTTCATCACGGACGATCCGGTCGCCAACGACTACTTCCCCGACGACGACTTCTTCCCCGACGTCCACGACCTCCTCGACGACATGGCAGGCGAGGACACCGACCCCAAGTCCAGCGCTTCTGCTGCTGCTGTGCCGTACGTGTTCTTCTCCTTTCTGTTAGAAGTCCTGCTACAGTTCTTGGCTCTAGTTTCTGTCCTACGTATGTTAGGTTCTATGTCGTATAAGCAACTTCATCTAGTGACTGTTCTAGATGTGTTTGCCTCAAGTTCATATATGCAGACGATGTTTACCTTCTCTCTGTCAGATTGCATGACTTGCTTTATATTTGCTATTTTAGTCATGTTTTATCTACTATTTCTGTTAATAAAATCATTCGGTAAATTGCTCATATTTCCAACATTAATCAGGTGCAAGCATTGAATATTCTTGTTGTGACTCTGAACTACCATCGTCCTAAATGCTCGATGACCCCGATAGAGGCGCTTCTTTCTACATTATGGAAAAAGTGGCTGGTGGTACATTAGCATGATCAAGACGCATCGGGCATGCCAGATTATTGGAAGCAAAGGTCCCAAGTTCAAGGTCCATTTGGACAGGTAGAGCTGCAAGCCTGCAACTGAGACTGATTGCAACCTGACCTGAATACATCATGGCACCTTTTCTGACTATTAAGGGGAACATGTCAACTTCAGTTCCCACAAGTTGCTGAAGGAACATATATTCATTTATTTCTGGTAGGGATGCACATCCCAAATATTTCTCATTCTTACTCTCAGAATCTCATTTGACAAATATTATGTTGAAGTTGTCAGAGTTAATAAAACCAGGCTAATCGTCAATATTGGTTTGTATCTAAATCAGTTGCTGGCTATGTACATATTCTAAGCACTAAGCGGACATCCACCTGAACTTTCAAATGGCAGTTGACTAGTCCAGCTACACGCACCGAGTCTAACAAGAAGAAATAGCATTCTCCCCATCATAAATTAATTAATCAACGAGATATAATTGGAGAGCAAAACTCCTCATATACTTGATCAAACCCAAACCGTTCATCAAAATAGAAGTTTACCTAGCTTCATGGTCCGCGGCCTATCTCGGCCAAGCCATCACCGAGCCCCCGATTCAGAGAGAGCAGAGTTGTGTGATTCCTGGAAATTGTGGCAGAGAACTATATATGTGTTAATATGATGGCTTATTCCTGCCACTGTTTATACTAGCCAAAAGGGCAAAACTGCACTTGGTGTATGTTCAAACAGCCCAGGCGCCACATTATTTGCATGAACCAGCAGTAGTACAAACCGCAAGCAAACTGAAGAAGCGTGCACCATAAGCATCCAAAAGTCAAAACTCAGACCCAATCTCACCAAACGCCAGAGATGGTCTCGATATGTTACTGGCCTAAACACGGTACCACAACCGTACAATCTGGTACAACAACCTACTGCTACTAAGACCTGAAAGAATTGAAATCTTTTTTTAGGCGATAAAAGAATCGAACTTGTTCTCACATGAGAAGCATGAGAAGCAGAGAGGAGATATACGCGTAGTACCGAATCAACGGGAAGCTGTTGTCCAAGAACGGCAAGAACACTCTCTCAGAAGAGAAAAGAAAGAAGAACCGGCGTCCGGCAAGAACGCGATGCGCACAGAATCTACTCCGGATAGCGTACCGGGGATTGGGATTGGGGTTGGAGAGCCGTGCGCCGATTCCGCCGTAACGGGTACAAAAGTTGAAGAAGCAGGGAGAAGCTGTAGTGCGTTTAATGGAATTAACTGCATGCTGCAGAAGTTGTTGTACTACTGTCGATAGGTAAGCGTGCCCCCAACAGCAGTAACTACGGTACAGGCAAGCAGGCAGAGAACAAGAACTCACCCGCAAATACTAGAAAACCACAAGAAGAAGAAGAAGAAGAAGAAGAAGAAGAAGAAGAAGAAGAAGAAGAAGAAGAAAAGTTTGTCTAATTGCCATGTGTTTGCCATCCTGTAGCAAAGTTGTGCTTCCTGGTTCTTCTCTGTCCTAGCTAGGTCAGATCAGTAATGTTTTTCTCTGCTGAGTTGAGGTCGGCACAAGGAGCAAACCGCTGGGGCATGGCGAGGAAGCGAAATTCATCTAAAAATCAACAAAAACCAAGAACTCCCACATAGGAAACCAGGGAAACAATCACGCGAAGGGAGAAGAAATGAGGGGAGGGGGGACTGACCTTCTGTTGGGGTTCAACTCCGGAAATCTGCTGGGCGTTCCCCTATTTCAAGAGCGAAAGGATCGCCGCGCGAGAGGCGGCCAGGCTTGCGAGAACACGGCGAGGATGGGGAGGCCAACGAACAAGAGTTTTCTTTTCTTTCCTTTTGAGGTTAACAAGAGAATTTTGGAATTGCTTGAAAAGAAAAATCCAGACGGAAGGATGAAGAGGTGTGACGAGTCCGCAGAGCTGTGCATTAAATTCTGATGCGCGCGCGCTCTCTCTCTCTCTCTACATATCCGGCCCCTTAATGAATGCTCAGGAAACAGGTCACTGAGTTGATTAAAGGACAGGCTTTATTTTCTTTTTTGCGAAATGATTAAAGGACATGTTGATGAGGAATATCTGAAAGTTGTCCAAAATTATTGTTTAGTGATGTGTGATTGTTGAATATCGCCCATGGCGATTTTGAAACCCTCGACAAAGAAAGGTAGATGTCATCCTAGTATTTTTCTTGCACACCTGAAGAGAAGAAAACTTTGCAACCAACCCCCTAAAAAATGAATTTTTTTAATCAAAATACAGCTGTCTCTCTATAAAATGGACGCTTGGTCTACACTTTGACCTCACGAATTTTGCATTGAGGTATTTTAGGGAGGAGGGATTATAGTCATTGCCCCAGGGATTTAGCCGATCTCGGTGAACTTCTTTAACAAATATCGTGCATCGGTGTTGTCTGTGATCTTGCATAGCATATTTACTCTAACAGGTGGTATCGAAATAAGGTTGTGAGAAGACTATGCAAAAGATCAACTGCGAGGTCGGGAGAAGATGGACCGGTCAAATCTCGGCATAGAGCAATTTGATCTACGCGTTATAGCCAAGTTCCATGGCAATTTCTAAAGAGCAGACAGAGTGACGGTGTGCGGGCTAGTTTTCTTGGTAGATCACGGACTATGGAATGGCTTCGAACGAGGAATACATGATTGATGGTCGATTTTTGAAGGAAGTCGCAGAGGGAAGCACAGGCGGTAAGACGAAAGACAACAAGTCGGGTAAGTCGCGTCTCGACATGGACATGGGGTTCACCAAATTTGATGTAGAGAAATTCGATGGCACGGGAAACTTCAGTCTATGGCAAACAAGAGTCAAGGATCTTGTGGCTCAACAGAGAATCTTTACGGGTTTGCAGAAGACGAAGCCAACCAAGGTTGAGGACGATATGTTGAAGGATATGCAAGTGTAGGGAGCGGCCACCATACGACTTTGTATTTCAAATTAGGTCATATATCATGTCATGGAGGAAATTTCTCCTAAGCCGATTGGTAAGTTGCTATATGTCCAAGTCGGCAACCAATAAACTGTATTTGAAGCAAAAATTCTATGGGCCAAAGACGCGGGAGGGGTCAGATCTTGTGGAGCACGTGGGTTCCCTTAATCAATTGGTCGCATATGTAGCACGTATGGACTTGAAGATTGATGATGAGGACAGGCTCCACTTCTTCTAGTTTTGTTTGCGACCATCCAATGAGCATTTGGTCATTACATTGACACATGGAAAGATAAACATCAACAATGAGGAAATCACCGCATCGTTGCTTGGATATGAATTGATGAAGCAAAAGAATGCACCTGAAAACGAGAGTACTCGAGCTTTGCGGTTGGCAGTCAAAAGTTAGCATCCCACGAAGGGATAAGAGGTGGCGAAGAAAAATAAGAAGGTTGAGTGCTTCAAAGGTAAGGAGTGGGAACATGTAAAGAGGGAATTCTTAGAAATGAAGGGTGGGACATGTCTAATGTAGTTACTCGCGGTGATGGCTCGGATGGTGATAGTAATTTTTTTATTGTATCATACATGCGGTCAACTAAAGATGAAGCGTGGATGTTGGATTCAGCAAACTCTTTTCATGTGACGCCCAAAAGGGAGTGGTTCTCTGCTACTTCTTGAGCTTGCGTTGGTTTCTCCCTTGGAGAGGAAAGGGTGGTGCATCAAAGTAGAGATAAGTATTTTCCTCGGTTAAGAACCAATGTATCAGTCCAATACGAGGAACACACAAGTCTCCAGTGATAGCATCTGCACAAACAAACAAATACTTGCACCCAACATGATAAAGGGGTCGTCAATCTCTTCACGGTTACTTGCAAGGATGAGATCTGATAGAGATAGGTATAAAAGATAAATAAAAGTGCAAAATAAAGTAAAGATAAATAAATTGCAGCAAGGTATTTTTATGTTTTTGGTTTTATAGATCTGAAAATAATACGATAAGAATAGACTCAAGGGTCATGGTTTTCACTAGAGGCTTCTCTCTTGAAAGAACGCATACGGTGGATAAACAAATTACTGTTGAGAAATTGATAGAAAAGAGCAAAGTTATGACAATATCTAAGGCAATGATCATGAATATAGGCATCACGTCTGTGACAAGTAGACCGACTCCTGCCTGCATCTACTACTATTACTCCACACATCGACCGCTATCCAGCATGCATCTAGTGTATTAAGTTAACAAGAACGGAGTAACACATTAAGAAAAATGACATGATGTGGAGGGATAGATCCAATAAAAATGAAATAAACCCCATCTTTTTATCCTTAATGGCAACAATACAAATACGTGCCTCGCTACCCCTTCTGTCACTAGGTGAGGACACCGCAAGATTGAACCCATCACAAAGCACCTCTCCCATTGCAAGAAAAATCAATCTAGTTGGCCAAACCAAATCAATTGATCAGAGAGAAATACAAAGCTATCTTAACCATGCATAAAAGAGTTCAGAGAAGACTCAAATAATATTCATACATAATCCGATCATAAATCCACAATTCATCGGATCTCAACAAACGCACCGCAAAAGAAGATTACATCGAATAGATCTCCAAGAACATCAAGGAGAACATTATATTGAAGATCAAAGGGAAAGAAGAAATCGTGTAGCTACTAGCTATGGACCAGTAGGTCTGTGGTGAACTACACACACATCATCGGAAGGGCATCAAGGTTGATGTAGAGGCCCTCCGTGATCGAATCCCCCTCCGGCAGAGTACCTTAAAATGCCCAAGATGGGATCTCACAAGGACAAAAACTTGCGGTGGCGGAAAAGTATTTTTGGTGTACCCTATGGTATACGGGGAATATTTGGGTATTTATAAAGCTGAGATTAGGGTTGGAGGAGTCACCGGGGGGGGCATAAGCTTGGGAGGCGCCCCCTAGGGCGCGGCCTCCAGGCTTGTGGCCACCCCGTGGCTCTTCTGGCCTCCTCCGAAGCTTCCTAGGTGTCTTCTTGTCCAAGAAAAATCGTCAAAAAGTTTCGTTTCGTTTGGTATTGATTTTATGTAAAAGACAAAAACAAGGAAAAAACAACAACTGGCACTAGGCACTAGGTTAATAGGTTAGTCCCAAAAAATGATATGAAATAGCATAATAATGCATATAAAACATCCAAGATGGATAATATAATAGCATGGAACAATCAAAAACTATAGATAGGTTGGAGACGTATCATTCTCTTCGTATAAGTCCGGTGAATTTTATTTAGCCTATATTGGCGATGAATCGGGCTACAATGTTACTGGAGTAGGTGACATTAAAATTAGGATGTTTGATGGAGTTGAGTGAGGGCTTAGAGGTGTGAGGCATGTGCCAGGGATAACAGGAATCAAATTCACTTCGTATTCTTTAGTGATGGTATGATATTTCAGGCTGATCGACATAAGAAGACCATGAAAATCATGGAAGATGAAGTAATGGTGATGACAGGAGAGAGGATAGTTTCACATCTTTACAAGTTATTATGTTCATAACTAATTTTATATTTCTATTCTATAATTGCAATGGTTCTTGAATGTGGGATTCAGAGGAAAACATATTTGCATGTGGAAAAATAAGGACCAAATA